GAAACCTTCAAAAATCACGGATAGGCTAGGAAAATCATTGAAAAGTTCACACGAAACTGAAAAACTCCGAAAAATCATGGAAAAAAACGAAACAAGGCCACGCATTGCGTTAGAGCAGAAAAACCCTAAAAGTAGCCTCAAAAAAAACTGAAGAGCTAGGGAAGCTTTTGCAAATCTCCGAGAAATTCGACAAGGAATAAAAACCCTAAAAAACTGAGGAAACCCTCCAAAAATCATCAAAAAGCAAGCAAAGGCTTCCAAAAAGCTAATGGAAGCCAGGAAAACCTTAGAAAACCTCCCAAAAACAAAAAAAACTTTTGAGCGGCCAGTGAAAAAAAATTCGTAAATCCAAAAAAAGGCTGCTGAGAAAATCCAAAAGTTGCCATAAAAAACATGAAAAAGGCGTAAAAAGATAACTCTAAACAGGTGAAAGAACCCTAAAAAAATTCAGGGAACCCTCCGAAAATCCAGAAAAAAGATTCCTAGAATTCAGTGAATATAAAGAAAAAAATCAAAAAGTTCCCGTTTAAAACATGGAAAAGAAGTCTCTGAAAATCATAGAAAAGCTTCAAAAAAGTCACTGAAAAGTCCAAAAGTTCACGTAAAAACATATAAAAAGAAGTAAATTAATGACTTTAAACAGGTAAAAAAAACCCTAGATAAATTTTAAAAAACCTCCAAAAATCTCCGTAAAGCCGAAAAACGGTCCTAGAAGTCAGTGAAAATAAGAAAAAATCAAAAAGTTCCCGTAAAAAACATGGAAAAGGAGTGACTTGATGACTCTAAACAGGTGAAGGAACTCTAGAAAATTCAGGAATCCCTCCGAAAATCCAAAAAAAAAAGCTCCTAGAAGTCAGTTAAGAAAAATCCAAAAGTTCACGTAAAAAAATGCGGAAAAGGAGTAAATTGATGACTCTAAACAGGTACAGAAGAACTGAAAAATTCAGGAAACCTCCAAAAATCTCCGTAAAGCTAAAAAAATAAGGCTCTTAGAAGCCATTAAAATTGAAAACAAAATCAAAAAGTTCCCGTGAAAAAAATATGGAAAAAGAGTATTTTGATGACTCTAAACAGTACAGGAACCCTAGAAAATTCAAGAAACCCTCCGAAAATCATCGAAAAGCTTCGAAAAAACCACTGAAAAAATCCAAAAGTTCACGCAAAAACATATAAAAAGGAGTAAATTGATGACTGCGCAATACGTTAGAGCAAAGGAGCAAGGCTAAACAAGTGAAGGAGGAGAAGGAGGAGGAAGACAAGCCAATCAAAACATCCGCTGTGGATTGAGACGCAACGACGCAACGGCGGACAGATGTTCGGGGCCGATCGCGAGGGCTCATGCAAAATCCAAAGTGCGACCAAAACTCACGCCTTTTGTCTTTTTGCTAATCTTCTCCGGTCAGGTTAGCGACAGATCATTGGGAGAAAATAAAACTGGCGATAGATCCTTTTATTTACTTTCTAGTGCATAAAAGAAAACCCTTACCAAGTTTCAGAAGACTTTCTCAAAAAGGTGAATAAATCCACTTTTATTATCACTAATTTGCCAGGTAAGGTTAGCGACAGATCATTGGGAGAAAATAAAACTGGCGACAGAGCAGATTATTCCTTTCCTAATACATCAAAGAAAGTCCTGACCAAGTTTCAGACGACTTTTTTGAAAAATTAATAAATCCAAGTAAAAAAATGGCCCCCGGATCATTGGAAAAAAGGAAAATTAGCCAAACTTCCATTTTTTTTTTCATTTTTAAAACATCAGTGAGGGCCCTGGCCAAGTTTCAGAAGATTTTCCTAAGTAATTAATGAATCCAATCTCTCAGGTAAAAATCACCGCCAAATTCTTGGAAAAAATAAAAATTAGAAACCGATCCTATAATTCCATTTCTAATACACCGAAGAAAGTCCTGACCAAACTACAGATAATTTTCCAGAAAAATGTGCAAATCCACCAATCTCACACCTTATTCTTACTGATCTCTCATGAGGGAATGTTTTTCACCCCCAGGTCCATTCCTTTTCTAGTACATCGAAGAAAGAAAGTTTTAAGCTTCATAACTCAGAAACAAGATCTAATGCGAAAAATTTTTTCCTTGATCAGGAGGTCCCTAAAGTTCAACCAAGTTTCATCAAAAGTTCAAGGGGGAGTTTTCTAGTCAGGTGATAATCACTACCAGATTATCAGAAGCGACCAAAACTCACACATTCTTAATAATATCTCTCTCACTATTTTTTTACTCCCCCGCGGTTGAAATTTTTGATGAAACTTGGTTAGAATGTACTTTAGGACCTCCTGATTGCAGAACAAGGAAAAATTCTTGCAGAGTGTCTTTAGGACGCCCCGAAAGCTTAAAATAGCGCTTTTTTGTCATAATTAGTGTATTTTGCGGACTTTGGAGCTTCATAAATCGACAAGAAAAATCTATTGCTAGAAATTTTTTTTTTGTTCTGGAATCAGGAGGTCCTAAAAGTACACTTCAGTCAAGTTTCATCCAAAGTTTAACGGGAGGGGGATGGGATGGGGGAAATTCCCGCCAGGTTATCGGGAAGCAGAAAAAAACTAGCAACAGATTCAATTATTCCTTCTCTTAACACATCAAAAAAAGTCCTGGCCGAATCCGGAATGTAACGTAAAATTAATTTTTCTCGTCAAAGATCTCAAATCGACCTAAAAACTCAAAAAAGCACTTTTAAAGAATTTCAAGCTCGTCAAAATTAAAATTTTTAAAAAGTCAACGAATTTTTCTCCTTTCACAAAGGTTTTCCCAGGTAAATTAGCGCCAGATTATTAGGGATAGCGAAAAAAATCCGATTTTTCTTTCGATTTTTGGTGCAAAAGTCTCGAAAAAGTGTTTATAATATCAACAAAAAAGCCTATAAAACTACTGAAAACTATAAATTACCTGGATTTTCACTTCAAAGTCCAAATGAACTGTACAACGAGCCGAGAAACGCCACCATAAAGCCAAGGAAACCTTCTAAAAATAAGAAATTCAAATGGAAAAAGACAGAAAATCACGAAAATTAGTTTAAAATGCGTGAAGAAAACGAAGAACAAAAAATAAATCAGAAAATACCGATCAAAGATCAAAAAATGAGATCGAAAAGGTAATTTTTCAGGGAAGCGATCGAAAAAATATTCAAAAGTTTACAAAAAAAGGGGGCAGATGAGGAAATAACTTCAAAAAACGCTTCTAAATGTTTAAAATGAGAAAAAAAAGACAAGAAAGTGCAAAAAAAAGTTTTCCAACGATAAAAAGTGTCAAAAAGTCAGCTGGAAAAAAAAACCCAAGGTTTTCAAATTACGAAGAAGGTAAATAATTTTGTTGAAAAAGCTCAGAAAAGCTCGAAAAAAAATGCTTTTAATGGTAAAAGTACAGAAAAAACTCGCAAAAGAACGAAAAAATACCACAAACTTTAAAAAATGAGCTGAAATCTCTTGTCCATGAGTAAAATCAGTACAAAATGAAGAAGAAAATCATTTTTCATGAAAATTCGTGAATTACGCATATAAATGACATAAAGTTATAATGAAAATCTAAAAATTACGCAGATTACTATTCAAAATCCAAACGAACTACACGATTCGCGAAGCTAAATATAATTGAAAATGGAAAATTGATTATTTTTCAAAAAATTAACATAAATCGCTCAGAAAATTCTAGAAAAAGACCAGAAATAGTTGAATGAATACTTGAACGATTGAATATTTAATAAAACGGTTTAGAAATTTGCAAAATTTGGCACATAATTCCCGAATGAAGCCAAAAATGACCAATATCACGTTTAAAACAGTAAAAGTGTACATAAAACGTATCAAATTACAAAAATATCGCGAAAAATAAGAACAAAAGATTTTTTTTTTTTGAAATGAAAAATACTAAAAAATCATTGTTTATAATCCACATATCGTATAGATCACAACTAAAAATTGAATCGAACTACAGAAAAAAGCTTCAAAATTGGGGAAAAGAAGCGCAAAATTTGGCGATTCCTTTTCGAAAAGGTCAACGCTCAAAATTCAATAAAAGTACACGAAAAACTTGTCAATATAAAAGTTCGTGTGACGACTCCTTTGAAAAAACGCTCAAAACTTAATAAAAATTCGCGATATGAAACAGAGGCCTTGAAAAGTGAACATTAACAAGAAAAAATATATGAATAAATCAAAGTTACGTTTAGAAATCTGAAAATCACGGGAAGAATCTTTAAAAGAACGCCATTTTTTCGAAAATATACTCACAGAAGGCAAGAATTACCTAAAATCACACAAAATTATCGAAAGAAACTGTATCAAAAGTCAGGTTTTTGTCTTCAAAAATTAAACTAATCGAATATATATCTAAATAAAATTTTTCGTTTAGAAATCTAAAAAAATCACGGAAAAAAATCGTAAAAAAAAAGCCATTTTTTTTTCGAAAACAAAAACTAAAAAGGCAAAAATTACCTGAAACTACATATCAAAAGATTAATATAAAATGAGCGAAAAGAACTGAAATTGGAAAAAACTACATGAATATAGAAAAATCCGTTCTAAAAGTAACGGAAAGAATCGCTAATAAAACACCATTTTTCCGAAAAATTAACAAAGAAACGAAAAATTATCTTAAACTACACAAAAGTATCCGAAAAACTACACAAAGAGGTCGTTCGTTTTATAAAACAAAAAAATCTTCAAAAAAATTAACTTTTAAAAAGCAAAACTATATATAAATTTCTGTTAGAAAATCAAAAAAATTTACGAGAAAATTCTGAAAAATCAAATGAATATACCCGAAAAAAATCAAACTAAACATAGGATCAACATCAAAAATTCGTGTTACAAATAGAAAAAAATCTTCAAAAAAATGAACTTTAAAAAAAGCAAAAACTATACATACACTTTTTTTCGAAGATAATTAATTTACGTGAGAAACCGTTAATGAAATGCCATTTATTCGAAAATCAAATGATTATATCGGAAAAATCAAACAACACGGAAGGATCAATATCAAAAGAGCGATATGAAACGTAAGGTGTTGAGGATAAACCGAAAAGGTGCGCGGAAAGCCGGTTTCTTTCCTGTGGCCAGCCCAATTGGTCCGCCCCCAAAAAGTGACCACTTGGCGTCTCCACAAGCGCGCGCCAACGCACACACACACCCGGCTAGGAGAACCCGAAACGTGGCCTCCACTCGTTCTTGGCGATCCGCCAGGAAACAATACTCGACTCTCTCTTTCGCCTCTATCTCTCTTTTCGTTCCGATCTGACCCACTTGGCCACCATCGTCCACCAGTGGCCGTCTCCTTGTTGTTTCAACACCGTCACAACAACAATCCGAGAGGGGGAGAGACGCTTAGGAGGGTTAGAGAAAAAGAGTGAACTTTTAAGAGAGTGAAGGGACTTTTCGGAGAGTTAGAGATAAAAAATGATGATAATTTTGATTTGAAAAATTATTTTTATCTTGTCAAAAAACCATCCGAGAGAGACGAAAGACGCGAGAGGCAAATAAAAATGATCCGAGAGAGCAGAGAGACGCTTAGGAGGGTTAGAGAAAGAAAGAAAAAGAGAAAGTGAGCTCTGTTTGAATTTATTAAGACAGAAGTACAGTTAGAGATGAAAGAAACATGAATAACTTAATTTTTAAAAAAATTTGTATCTTGTAGAAAAAAATGATCCGAGAGAGCAGAGAGACGCTTAAGAGGGTTAGAGAAAGAGAGAGAAAGATAGTAACTTTTCATAAGAGTGAAGAGACATTTCCAAGGGTTAAAAAAATGGAAAAAAATAAGTTTAAAAAGTTTTATTCTTGTCCAAAAATACGAAGAAAGACTAGAGAGCAGAGAGACGCTTAGGAGAGTTAGAGAAAGAGAGAAAGTGAGCTCTGTTTGAATTTACTGAGAAACAAGTACAGTTAGACCTGAAAAAAATATGAAAAATGAAATTCAAAATGTCTCAATAAATTCAAACAGAGTTCCCTTTCTTTTTTTTCTCTTTCTCTGACCCTCCAGAGCGTCTCTCTGCTCTCTAGTCTCTCTTATTGTCGAAAAGAGATCGAGTAGGAGACGCTTAGGAGGGTTAGAGAAAGAGACAAAAAAGCGAAAGTGAACTTTTTATAAGAGCGAAGAGACACTCAGCGTAAGTATTTAGAAAAAAGACAAGAGATAAGCTCTATTTCTGACTATGTTTTTCCACTCCCTGTGGTCCAAGACAGGGCAGAGAGACGCTTGGGAGGGTTAGAGAAAAAGAGAAAAATGAGAAATTGAACTTTTTACAAGGGTGAAGAGACTTGCGAAGAGATAAAAAAAAGGTGCTTCGAAACATTTTCTTCAATAAAAGTAGACTGGAGAACAGAGAGACGCTTAGAAGGGTCAGAGAAAGAGGGAAAAAAGAAAAGAACTGTATAAAAAAGCTCTGGAGAGTTAGAGACAGATTTGAAGCTTCTTTTATGAATTTTTTCAACAGAGTGACGAGAGACGCTTGGGAGGGTTAGAGAAAGAAAGAAAACAGAGAAATTGAACTTCCTGTGAAGAGACTTTCGAAGAGTTCAAGATAAAAAAGGTGCTTCGAAACATTTTATTTATTAAAAGAAGGCTAGAGCAGAGAGACGCTTGGGAGGGTCAGAGAATAAGAGAAAAAAAGAAGCTATGTAAAAAAAGTTTCAAGAAGCTTTGGAGATTACAGACAGATTTGAAGCTTCTTTTATGATTTTTTTCAACAGAGAGACGAGAGACGCTTAAGAGGTTTGAAGCTTCTTTTATGATTTTTTTCAACAGAGAGACGAGAGACGCTTAAGAGGGTTAGAGAAAGAGAGAAAAATGAGAAATTGAACTTTTTACAAGGGTGAAGAGACTTGCGAAGAGATAAAAAAAAGGTGCTTCGAAACATTTTCTTCAATAAAAGTAGACTGGAGAACAGAGAGACGCTTAGAAGGGTCAGAGAAAGAGGGAAAAAAGAAAAGAACTGTATAAAAAAGCTCTGGAGAGTTAGAGACAGATTTGAAGCTTCTTTTATGATTTTTTTCAACAGAGAGACGAGAGACGCTTAAGAGGGTTAGAGAAAGAGAGAAAAATGAGAAATTGAACTTTTTACAAGGGTGAAGAGACTTGCGAAGAGATAAAAAAAGGTGCTTCGAAACATTTTCTTCAATAAAAGTAGACTGGAGAACAGAAGGACGCTTAAGAGGGTCAGAGAAAGAGAGAAAAAAGAAAGGAACTGTGAAAAAAAAAACTTTGGAGAGTTAGAGACAGATTTGAAGCTCCATTTATGATTTTTCTTAACAGAGAGACGAGAGACGTTCAAAAGGGTTAAAGAAAGAGAGACATTCAAAAAGTATGGGATAAAAAGTTGGAGGAAAAAGTGTCTGTTTGAATTTTCCTAAATCTATGGAAGTCAGAGATGACTAGAGAGTATAGACGCTTAGAAGGGTTAGAGATAAAAAGGAAAAAATATTTTGAAGGGAATTTTAGTTTCACCAAAAAGGCAGCAAAAAGGCCGCTGAAAGGCTGCAGAAAGGCCGCAGGAAGGCAGCAAAAAGGCAGCAAAGAGAGTCCCTTTATCGAACTTTCCATTTTTCTGGGATTTCAAAAGCTCGAGAAATGGTGAAGGAAGGGAGAGGCAGCAAAAATGGTGCAAAAAGGCCGAGAAAAGGGCGCAAAAAGGTACCAAAAAGGGAGCCTTTTTCCGTCTTTGCCTATGCACTGAGTTCAGAATTCGTTTTTTTTCAAATCTAACTTTTAAAACCATTTATATTTGAATCTAAAAATCTCCAAAAGGAACATCTTTTCAAGCTTATTTCCCTCCGAAAACAGCTTCTCCCTTATCTCTCAAAAAAATCGTCGGAAATGTAGAGCATTTCCTCGTCAAGTTCCTTGTTCCGGAGTCTTTTTTTTTCATGAAGAGGTCGATGATATCTCCTTCGGAACGGGAGAAACTTCGCGGAAAGGGAAATCAATCGATCATCCTTCGCTAGGTGTATATTGTCACGTGTGGCGGGAGAAAAATGCCAGGGTTTTGATTGGTTTTTGGTGTTCTTTTCGCCCCGAGGGCCATCTTTTCGGGAAATAAACATCCTTCTCTCTGCCAGAGTTCTCTCCAAGTGCATTAGAAAACAAGCCAGGAAAAACATTTAGTCATGCAAAAAAAGCTGAAAATCTTTCTTCTGAACTTAAAAACTGAATAACTTTGAAATAAGCAACTGAAAAACGGCTTTTCCGCGAAAATCGAACAAAAAACGGCTTCCAAAGATTTTTTAGTTCAGCAGAACCCTTGGAGGTCAAAGAATTAAATGAAACCAAAAAAAAAATGCCTGGGGAGGAAAGGAAAAAAAAAGTCCCAACTTAAATGAACGCCTTAACTCAAAAAAGTCTCAATTCCAAAAAAGTCCAAACTCGAAAAAAAAAGTCCCAACTACAGAAAAAGTCCCAACTCAAATGAACGCCTTACTTACTTAGATACTTACTTAGATGGTCCATCTTCGCTTTCGATCTTTTATTGCCTTTTAGTGCCTTTTATTGATCGAAGCGTGGACCACACGTTTTCCAGGAGGTCTTATGCAATCGGTCATCCAGTGTTGTCCTGGTTGACTGGTATTCTTGCGAAAAAGTTCCATCCGTGGTGTTGAACGTGTTATAGCATAATTTTGGTCTGATTATCCTTTTTGCCTTGCCAGGGCTAAAAAAGACCGCCCATTCTGTTAGCAGAAGCAAGCCGAACTGCGTGACCGGTGTACCGTTAGCCGCCATAAATGGCGTTGCCTCCCCATCACCGCGTAGAGGTGGTACTTGAAATGAACGCCTTAACTGAAAAAAAGTCCCAACTCCAAAACAAGTCCCAACACAAAAAAGCCCAACAGCAAAAAAAGTACCGACTCAAGTCCCAACTCAAAAACACTCCCAACTCAAAAAAAAATCCCAACTCCAAAATAGTCCCGACTCCAAAAGAAAAGTCCCAACTCAACCCCGAGTGGTAGAAAAAAAGCCTTGAACAAAGTAGCTTTAACTATAAGTAGAAAAATAAGAAATATTTTTCGAAAGCTGCTCCAAAAACCAGCAAAACCTTCCGCAATACTCACAATTTCAGTAAGAAACGGGGTGAAAACCGCAGAAACGAGTCTTTTTTTTCTGTTTTTCCGCGCCAAAGTGCACGCGCCCTTACGATTTTTTTTTCAAAACTGAGAAAATTCGGCATTTCGCTAGCTTTGTAGTGCATGTACAACCGAAAAAAATGCCAAATTTTTTTGAAAAATTGAATTTTAGTCAAAATTTCAACTTTAGACTTTAAGATAATAAATTTGAGAGAGTGAAAAATGAAGGTTCAGAAAATATTGGAAAATAAAAAAATTTTTAATTAGTTTTTTTAGTAAATTTACTACCGAAAAATGCCTAATTTTATGATAAAACTTTGAATTTTCGTCAAAAAAATATCACTTACCTAAAAATTTTGAACAGTGGAAAAAATAAATTACAAAAAAATATAGAAAATATAAAATCTCACTAGTTTTTTAGTGCTTCAAACTCCGAAAAATACAAACATTTACGACTAAAATAATAATCAATGAGAAAACTTGAAGCGGTTCCAAAAACCCGAAAGAACGGCCAGAAAGATAAGAATAAATGAGAAGATAAGAAAAAAAACGGAAATGAAGAAGAAAGGACGCCGACGTGTTGAATTATTGTTACGGCTTCCGCGGGTGTCCCCCATTTTTATTTATTTTTTTTTCAAGTTTTTTTCGGGGATTGATCATTTTTTTCTTCTTATCAGTTCACTACAGAATGCGAGAGATTTTTTCTAGGAAAATAATATTTTTTTTTGTGATTCTCAAAAAAATCTATCTAATAATCAATAATTTTGAGAGCTTCAAAAGTTATTTAATCCAAATTAAGCTTCCAAAAAAACCTTCCAATAATTCAGAAAAAAGCGAATTTTGAATATTTTTCTCACTTATTTAGTTCAATAAAAGTCCTAAAATAGCAAAAACTGAGCTCAGAAATCATAAAAACATCTTTTTCCTAGAAAAAAAAAGCCCAATTAATTAATCCTACGAATGCCCATGAAGCTGTGAAGTTCAAAAAGTCCGAAAGCTCAAATTTTTTTGAGTTAAAACTTCCATTTCTTTAAATAAAAAAACTTCAAAAAAAATCAAAAAGAAATTTTTAAAAAAACACATGAAAAAAATTAATTTCTTCGCATACCAATTTTGAAAAAAATTCCAAAAAAATTCGAAAAAAATCAGTCACTAAGGGGACAAATTGGGGGAAACTTTGTGAATACAAAAAAATTTTTTTATAAGTATTTCCTTCGACTAATAGAGTTCAAAAAATGTTTTGAAGCTAGAAACTTCAAAAAACCCTTCCTAAAAGTCAAAATTTTAAGCTAAAACCTTTCAAAAACGGAAAAAAAGGCCCGAAAAACAATAATTTCCCTACAAAAAAATATGATTTTTTTAAAGATTCATTCACAAAATTCGCATGAAAGGTTGCTAAATATAGTAATTTTGTCGATTTTTAAGCTTCAAAAAGCTCAAATTTTTTTGAGCTAAATATTTCAAAAAAACCTTCCAAAAAAATTCATAAAATTCGAAAAAAATCAGTCACAACACTATAGAAAAAGCTACTGAATCCCTCGAAATTTCAGTAAAAAAATCCAATTTTTTTCGATCATTCAATTTCAAAATGCAGATGAAGCTATGAATTTCAGAAAAAAATGTTTAAAAAAAGTCCAGTTTTTTTGAGCTGAAACCTCTAAGAAATGGCAAAAAAACGAAAAAAAGGCGAAAAAAACAGGACCCGAAACCAATCTTTTTCACATTTTCATTGAGTAAAAATTCTTCAAATTCGAAAAAATAAGTCTGTGAAAAAAAAGCCACTGAATCCCTCGAAATTTCCGTTAAAAACCTATTTTTTTTTCCATCATTCGATTTCAAGATGCAAGTGAAGCTACATAAAATGTATGAATTTCAGAAAAAAACTGTTTAAGAAATCCAATTTTTGAGCTAAAACCTCCAAGAAATCGCAAAAAAAATCAGAACAAACGGCGGAAAAAGGGCCCGAAAGCAATCTCCTTTCATCTGTGTCTCGACACGAAATGAAATGCGAGAGATGAGGAACAAGTAAGTGAGGTCACATCTCTCGGAATTCGTTTACGCGCTAATAACTTCCACCGCCACCGCCGCCACCACACACGACACAACAAATTCGGGCGTTACTGTCCACAAAACGCGTCTCAACCTCCTAGCCCAGTTTCGTAAGGAACGACGCTTGCATTTTATGGAAAAACGCCGAGGAAGGAATCGACAGGAAAGCCGACAGGAAAGACCCGAAGTTGCCTTTCCGAACAACGAGTTTTTGGAAGGATGCCGATGGCAGGAGAGTAAAAGCGATCAGAAATTGTATTATTGATTAGGAACTCCAGAGTGGTCCCTATAGGGTCAACCTTAGGGGACTTTGAAGAGTCCCCTTTAAGTACCACTATAGGGCTCACTGAAGCTAGCAAAAATGGCCCCTATAGGGTAAACGCTAGTCGACGAGTTTTATGGAAGCATTTCCATTCGAAAAACTAAATAAACAAGCATTTTTTCCAATAAAAATGAAAGACCATTAAAGGGACCACTCAAGCTATAGGGGTTAACGGCCCGAAACCCCTATTGGGACCACCTTGATTTCACCCCTTTAGGGACCACTTTTTCGGCCCCTATAGTATCTGTTTTTCCCCTAACCCCTAAAGGGATCACTTTAACAAGGAAATCTCACTTAGAAAAAAAGTGGGTCCTACCGGGAAAAGAAAAAGCGTAGGTGTACTAAAGGACTCCCAAAATGGTCATTTAGGACCCACTTTAGGGATTTGCCAAAAGTGGCTGGTAGGAGTTCCACAGCGATTCTAGGGACTGCAACTGAAAAATTCCCCAAACGACAAAGTAGTTTCAAAGCCGACAGGAAAGACCCGAAGTTGCCTTTCCGAACAACGAGTTTTTCGAAGGAAGCCGATGGCAAGGAATCTTGAGTCTCAATGATCAAAAAGTGTACAGTTGTTTAAAGGAGCACAGGAAAGAGCTCCTTTTACGCGTAAATAATCACGAAGAATGGTTTTCGCTTAAGCACCTTTATGACACATTCTTCGATGCTCCTTTAAACATCCAAAGCCCTTATGATTAGACTATAAACGCTGCTAGAGTTTGCTGTACTAGTTAATGAGCATTGCCAGCCTGTACCTCTACTGGAGAAGGCTCTTCGCCTCAAGACCTTTATGGGAATGATCCATGCTCCTTTGAAGACGCTTGCATTCTATGGAAAACGACGGGGGGAAGGAATCGACAGGAAAGCCGACAGGAAAGACCCGAAGTTGCCTTTCCGAACAACGAGTTTTTGGAAGGATGCCGATGGCAGGAGAGTTTTGGTGATCAAAAGTGTACAGTTGTTTAAAGGAGCACGGGAAGGAATTTTAAAATAACAGCTAAGGTCACACCCTGCGCCTTTAAAAACATCTTTAGCTAATCGACAAGAGAAAAGACCTTCTCCTACGCGTAAATAACCACTAAAAACGGCTTTCGCTTCAGGACCTTTATGACACATTCTTCGATGCTCCTTTAAACATCTAAAGACTTGCAATGTATATTTGATTGAAGAAGACATGTGCCTTCAAAATTATGAGGGCCCGTTATGCTCGTACTATATACGCTGCTAGAGTTTGCTGCACCAGGTAATGAGCATTGCCAGCCTGTATCTCTACTGGAGAAGGCTCTTCGCCTCAAGACCTTTATGGGAATGATCTATGCTCCTTTAAAGGTGCTTGCATTTTATGGAAAACGACGGGGGGAAGTAATCGACAAGAAAGCCGACAGGAAAGACCCGAAGTTGCCTTTCCGAACAACGAGTTTGCGGATCGAAGCCGATGGCAAGGAAGTTTCAATGATCAAAAAGTGTACAGTTGTTTAAAGGAGCACAGGAAGGACATTTAAATAACATCTAAGGTCCACGCGCCTTTAAAAACCTCTTTAGCTGATCGAGAATAGAAAAGAGCTCCTTCTACGGGTAAATAATCACTAAAAACAGTTTTCGCTTTAGGACCTTCATGACAGATTCTTCGATGCTCCTTTAAACATCTAAAGGCTTGCAGTGTATATTTGATCGAGGTAAAGAGCTTTAGCAGCGTGTATCTCTACTACAAAATTTTCTTCGCCTTGACACCTTTATGGGAATACCCTATGTTCCTTCAAAATTGCATTTTATGGAAAACGTCGGGGGAAGAAATCGACAGGAAAGACCCGAGTTGCCAACAACGAGTTTGCGAAGCCAGTGGCAAGGAATCTTGAGTGTTCATTTCATTCAGAATCAGTGCTAGAAGACTATTTCGAAAATAGAAGAGCGACGAAAATTCAAAAAAAAAAGCGTGGATTTGCGGTCCGGAAAATAAGTAAAAATCATCAGAGTATCGACACGAAGAGCTGTTTTTCTGTTGCCGTTATATCTAGGGACATTCCGTGAACCTTCAATAACAGCTTCAGCTTAGCTAGTTAGCTGAGAGCTGTTTCTATGCGTGAATAATCCCTAAGAATGGTTTTCGCTTAGGGACCTTTGTGACACATGCTTCGATGCTCCTTCAAACTTTCAAAGATTGAAATTCAAGAAAAACGACAACTGACGAAGGAGGAATCAACAGAAAGCCGACGGGAAAGTTACGAGTTGCCTTTCGGAACAACGAGTTTTTGGAAGAAAGCCAACCGAAAGGATCTCAAGTCTCACGATAGAAGTGTCTCTTTTCCTTTTTTTAAGATCCATAAAACAATAAAAAGATTTTTTCAACTTATGGAATGTATAACGCATGGTTTTCGCATGATACCTATAAATTCAAATAGTCATTTTGGGAAAAAAAAAACTTCGATAGAAATTTTTTCAACTGTTTTGACATCTCGTAAGAAGCTTAGAAGTTATATTTTATAACTTTTTTTAGAAAAACATTTTTTTTTTGGTCTTGATTCGAATTTTTGGCTTTTTTTTATGAACGGACGATTTTTTTGAGCGACTTACTGTAGAGTTGGTAGATATCGGAGCAAAATGAATTCACAAAACTTTATTTGAGACAGTCCAAAAACCAACAAAACGTTCATATTTCTCTCTTCCTTTTGAAACATTTCAACAAAGAGCGAGAAATCGAATCGATTCAAAAGAGAAAGAAAATCAAAAAAGGGCTAAGCAAGACGTGTTCCTCTGCCCACTACAAAGTGAATCCGAGGTACGAAACGAGGGAAAAAAAAGAAAGCGGACGGAAAGTCGTAATGTATCGCGAGCGGTCAAATGAGGTGGTCAGCTCGTTTTCGGGTTCTTTTTACTCAAATTTGGACGTTCTCCAGAGTTTTTTTCTATACTATCTTCTTCTTCTTACGCCTTTGTACCGCTTGAGCGGCGTCGGCGCCTCAAGTCGATTAGCCGAGGTCCTATCCTGATATGTGATAATCAGTGGACTGGCTCTAGTGACATATCCGTCCTTGTGTGAGACGGCTGGGGATTTTGAAGTCGTGGTTTCCCACTACCAACATTTCTTAAACCTCTTGGTTGGGTCGGGGCGGGGATCGAACTTGTGACCCTGTGGACCGTAGACAGGCACACAACCTGTTGCGCTACGGCGCCCCCATTTTTTTTTCATTTTTTTTTCTATACTATAGTTTGTTCGAACCAGCTTTTCTGAAGATTTAAAGGCGCATAGGTCAAAAATAAAAAGGTCTCAAGACGAAGAGTCATTTTTGAGGTTTGTATAAAAAAAAATGATGAGCTCGTTTCCGGCATCTTTTTACTCAAATTTGGACGTTCTCCAGGATTTTTTTCCTACTATAGTTTGTTTGGACCAGCTTTTCTGAATATTTAAAGGCGCATAGGTAAAAAAATAAAAAGGCCTCAAGAAGAAGGGCCATTTTTTCCCGTTTGAACCTCATCCGGTAGAGTTTTTTTGCTATAGTTCATTCCAAAATGCTTTTTTGGGGGTTTAAAGGCGCATAGGTAAAATTTGAAAAGGTCTCAAGACGAAGATTCATTTTGAGAGCCAGTTAGACCATGTACAGCTTTAAAAACCCAGAAAATAGGTTAGAATGAACTATGAACTCGATTTAGTCAAAAAAAATGGTCACCCCGTTCCCGGCCTTTTTTTAATGAGAAAAAAAAAAGTAAAATGTCGTTTGCTTCTCACTGAAAAAGCTGAAGTGGACCCTAAAGGGGTTTGAGATTTAGTGGGTCCTATAGGGAGTGTTCTAGAACCTCCTAAAGAAAAAAAAAGGGTCTTTCAGTATACCTCTCCCTAGAGGACTCACTCAAACTTTTCCAGGTAAGTTGAATTTTTTTTTCATCTAGGGGTCAAGCTGAGAGTTGTCTCGACCAAGATAACGAATTCTCATTTCTCACTGAGAAAAGCTGAAGTGGGGCCTAAAGGGATTTGAGATTTAGTGAGGGCGCAAAAGGGGTCCCTAAGAAAACCACCCTCTAAAGGACCAGCTTAATCTTTTCCTAGTGAGTTGAGGGCCATTTCGGCAAGTTACAAAACTTATTTCTCACTGGGAAAAGCTGAAGTGGGCCCTCGAAGGATTTGAGATTTAGGGGGTCCTTCCTCTCCCTCAAGCTTTTTTTCCAGTGAGTTGAAAAGTGTGAGAGCGAAAACGGGGGGTCGAGTGTTTTTTTCGAGGTTACAAATGTTTACGTTTCACTGGGAAAAAGCTAAAGTGGGCCTTAAAGGGTTTGAGATTAAGGGAGGAGGGACACAAAAGGGGGTCCGTTAGTACAGCCCCCCACAAGGGACCCTCTCAAGTGACTTAATTTTTTTTCTCATTTCTTAGCAAAAGCGTGAATTCTGGAGCTTTTAATCAGAACAGAAGAGTTATTTCGAAGCAAAGGGGGGAAAGTTGAGAGTAGTTTCGGCGAGAAGCTATATAATCTAGAGACAAGCAATAATTCGGTGTCGGCGGCGGCCGGGGGGCATTTCTCCGGCCGCAGTCGTGTTTTCCCTCCTCTTGGCCAGTCATAAGGCGGTATAGGAGCCACATTGCAAAACGCCTCCAAAACGCCCAATTTATCTTCAGCCGACGCACACCGGCGTCGCGCCGGGCGCTATAAATCTGGCGAAAAACGCAAAAAGTTCAGCCGAGCTTAAGTGTTCGTTTTCGATGCGAGATGAGTCCAAAAACAAGGATTTTGAAACAAAAAATGAGTGTTAAGCTGAGATTTTGAGAGAGAAGAGCTCTGTAAGAGCTGAGAAAGCTACACGGAAAACAGAATTTTCGGAATTTCCTAAAAAATTCAGAAAAAAAGTAGAAAGTCGATATTGCTTCCCGCTCATATATCGAAGAAGTTTTGGTGCCTTTTTCTGATTTACAAGTCAATTAAGGTACTTAGAAATGCCAGAGTGGTCCCTATAGGAATTAGAAAAAAAAGCCGCCCTTATATGGGAGAAGAAAGTGCTCCCTATAGGCGTAAAATTGAAGAGGCCCCATATAGGGGTTCAGTTTCTCACTTCTGAGCCCTGAAGCTCAACTTTTCAAGCTTCAGTGACCCCTATAGGGGGAGGTAAAGTGGTCCCTGAAGGTGATCCTTTGAAGGCCCAAAAAACGCCCCTATAGGGACCACTCTGGCGTTCCTGAAAAGAATTTATCGAAAGGTGTTCAAAAATGAAAAATTAGGAAAACTGCCCGGGAAAACCAAAAAACCGAATCACAAAATTTCATATCAATTTTGAAGCTTGAAAATAATCGATAATCGCCAAAAAATCTCGAAATAGCTAGAAAAGCCTATTAAAAATCGTTTTTATCCGATTTTCGAGGTACTCATTTCGATTTGAAACTAAAAACTAGCTCAATAAGAGCCAAAAAACAGGATTCAGCAAAAAATAAACTAGTAACCGAGTAACAGAAGTTCTTATCAACTTTAAAGGCTAAAAAACTATTTCAAGTCACTTTTTAAAGTTACTTTCGATCTGATTTCATCGATTAAAAGCCAAAATTCATCCAAAAAAGGGCCGAAAAAGCGGTAGGGAGCTAAAAATACAGGTTCAAAATTGAGATAAAAAAGTTCTTATCAATTTTGAAGATCAAAAAGCCTGATCCAGTAACTTTTTCGAGTTATTTTCGATCTGTTTTCATCGATTAAAAGCCAAAAATCAGCCAAAAAAGGGCAAAAAAACATTGAAAAGCTAAAAATACACGTTGGAAACCGAGAAAAGCGTTCGGTCCAGTCCAACCAGAGCCGAAAAAGGGGCAAAAAAGACGTACACGCACCTCGCGCCCCCGAGGCCCGTATGACACGACAGCGCCTCATTCTTTTCCTCTTCCTCACTTTTTTTTCCTTCCTTTTTTTTCCTTCTTGTCCCCGTCTCGGCTACAACTCTACGTCGTCACGGAAATGCACTTTTTCGAATTTGTGGCCGAAAAAAAGGGATAAATTTTTTGCGATGAATAATCGGTTCTCAGAATGATAAATCCTTATTGAAAGGAGCATTGGTGAATCCGAAAAGATCCTTAGACGAAGAGAGGCTTTTTTCAGGTCTCGCAAGACTCTGAGCCTTTAAAACACAAAAAATACAAAATCGTTATTAAAGGAGCATCGACAAGTTCCGAAAAGGTCTCAGGACGAAGAATAATTTCCAGTGTTATTTCGGGTCCTGTAAAACGCTGAGACTTTAAAAAAATTTATAAAAAAATGCAAAACCGTTATTAAAGGAGCATAGAAAAGTAACAAAAAGGTCTCAAAGCGAAAAACCATTTTCAGTGTTTTATTCAGGTCCTGTGACTATGAAAACCCGGTTAGAATCTTTTTCTAAGCCCGCGCCTTTCAAACTGAGATTTTTAAAGAAAACTAGCCTAAATAGCATTTTTCAACTTAAAATTTGAAAAATGAGGTTAAATAAGCTATGAGCGAGAGATCAAGAGGAGCCTGAAGAGACGCCAAACAACGAGACT